TCGATCTCGAGGACTGCATAGGAAATACAAGCTCTAAAATAATTCAGTTGAACAAAAGCACTTGGGTTTTTGAAATTGTTTTGTTGAATTGCAAATAAAAGAGAGAAATTGACTAAGTGGTTTAAACAAATATGAGTAACATGCTAGGCGAAGTGTATGATCCGACTCAGTAACAACTCTGAATTAACACTGTAATGACTTATTGTAACTAACTAATTACCGATTCTTTAGAATGTTTACTCCTAAGTCCTTAATAAGAAAACCTTTAATCATCTACCCTAATTCCTATGTCCATAGAGAATTATAAGTGAGATTAAGCAATCAATTATCAAGAATATTTCGGTTCCTATAGGGTATCCCTAGTCCTAGGGGACATCTACTACAGAATGATCAAAAGCAAATCCTTAACAACGGTGGTCCAGCCTAATCGTAAATCAAACCCTGTTGGTCCGACAGGGCAGGCATTAAGAATAGCTAGAGATTAAATCAGTTATTAAAACAAAGGAAATGTTATTGCAATACTAATATCAGAGTCATTACAAATTCAACTCAGGGGCACCCCCTAGCATTGGGGGGTTTGGCTACTCATATTATTTGAATAAAATACAAAAGAAAAACTAGACATTAAAAGATAATAGGATTCCTTGATCTTCAATTGCTTCCTCTCATGAAAACCTTCAGTTTCCCAATTACTTTGATCTCTCCAATCTTGATCGTATAATTCTTCTCTGGCCAAAAAGTCCTCTTTTCCTTCTCAAAATTTGTCTTAAATACTCCTAGGTCCAACACAGTAATAGGAAAATACCCTGAATACCCTTAGGGATCACAAAGGCCCAAAAAATAAGAAAATTGGAAGATGAATCGTTTCACCCAACACTAGCCATGTCAGCTGACACGGGCGGCCATGTTGGCCCCCTGGATATATGATGCAAAACTTGTCTGCTCCAGACTTGCTGTCACGGGCTGTGTCAAGCGACACGGGCACCCGTGTTAGCCCATTGTCTAAAAATTTGTTTTCTTCATCTTGGTAACCTCCTGACACGGGCCGTGTCAGGCCACTGTTCCCCTTCAAAAAATCTTCTGAGTTCTTGCTGTTTTCCAGGTTTTGGCTCTGATTCTTCTTGATTTCTTACCTGAATCTAAAAACAATTGAAATACCAAACCAACGCGTATAATGCGATAAAAGGAAATAAAATGAAACTAAAAGTATAAGGCAATTAACTAAAACTCATGGTAAAATAACGTATAAAAATCACTCATCAAACTCCCCCAAACTTAAATTGTTGCTTGACCTTAAGTAACAAGCTTGGATAAACATTTTTCAGATCAAACGGTACACATCAAATAAAATATTTGTAAAGGTACGGTGTGTCGATACTTATACGTCATTCTTTGTTCTGATCGGTTAAAACTAGTTCTCTTGGTAATCGTCCGTTAACAAAGGTATTACACAAACACATACCAGGGTAAAACCACAAATCTAAATCCCCCTTTCGGTCACCTCTTCAAATATGCTTTGGGCTTAAGTCTTTTCTTCGATTTTCTACCCCTTTCATTCGGATAATCAGATTAGGGCACTTTTGATCGCTTTCCCTCACATGTATAAGATTGGATCAAGACTTTTTCAAGGTACCTTTATTATTAGTTTTCCTCGCACATTGGCGTTTATTAGACCACTTTGTGACGACTATAGAGATTCAACCGCCGTCAGGCTAAATAACAGGGTGAGGGTTACCTAACTTAGAAGGACCAGTTGTCTCTACCGTCATTATTCATCATATATTATTTTTTTTGGTGCCACAAGTCATTTTTCTCAATCAACTTTATACATGTGATTCTCTTTAATCATGCTAGACCATCACTATGAACTAATTAGGGAATACTTCTCAAATCCAAGTACTATGGCCCAAATCTACACATTGAATTCATTACCTTACTTCGGGGAATCTAGGTTGTTCAGGTTATACCTCAATTTTTAAACTTTCCCAAATTCCCAAATTTCAACTCATCTTTCCTCAAACTCTATATACTTTCCTGACTACTTCACACAGCACAGTATTCACAAGAAAAATTTTACGATCCTTATTCGGGGAGAGTTCACGACGATTTTTAAACAAAACGACCCAAACACAATTAAAAGGTGCTTAAAATGAAAACTCAAAACAGTAAAAACTCCCCCAAACTTGAACTAAACATTGTCCTCAATGTTTTAGAACAACAGTGGGAGAGATGCACTTACAGAGATCCTTACTGAGGAGTTGGAGGGTAATGCAACACTCTAGCTTGCACTTGTAAGGTCTCGTTTATTACCTGTAAACAAAACAAAATAAAAACAAAAAAAAAATTCTCAATCATTAAAAATGTGAGTTGCCTCTCATGCAGCGCTTCGTTTAACGTCGCATGGCTCGACGGATCACTCCCCATTGTTATGGGGGGTATCTCAGCTTCCATGCTTTATTACTTGATGTAACGCCCCAATTCTGGATTCCCATTTTTATTGAGTCCTTATTTGATTTATTTAAGTTATTATGTTATTTATGTGAAATTGTGTGATAATATGTTATGTTTACATATTGAGCTATTTTTGCCGACTTTGAGAGTTTCGGGTAAAAATAGGTTGGAGGGTATTTTGGGCATTAGTGATAATATTAAGTGGATATTTTGTGAGAATTAATTGATAAGTGTGTGTGGAAAGAATTTGGGAGGAAAGAAATAGAATATGAGTATATGAGAGAAAAGAGAAAGATAGAAACATTAGGAAAAAAAACAAGAGAAAGAAAGGAGGAGGAGAGAAAAGAAGAGAAAGTGGAGCAAAACCTAGAATCATCAAGAATCAACCTTAGCTTGCGATTAATCAGGTAAAGGTGAGAAATTTTATCATCTTCATAATGTGTATGATCATGTATGTGCTAGATTGGATTTGTTGGATTGTTTTCTATGTTTCCATTTCTAGGTCGGAAGTTGATTTAATCGGTAGAAACTGAGTTTTATCGGTTAGAATTTGGAATATACGGTGTAGTATAGTCGGGTGATAAGTGGGTTATGCTATTGGAACTGATTTGGATTAAATTGGTCGATTTGTGAGGTTTGGGCTTTTGGACAGCCATGGAAGTTCTGAGTTCGCAGGCTCGCCAGGCGAATGGCAGCGAAACTTCGCCGGGCGAAGCCCAGCGAGCAGCAGGCGAACCAAGTCAGAAGCATCCACCCTGTCTTCGCTGGCAAGTTCCCCAGGCGAATGAGAGTGGCGAAGGTTCGCCAGGCGAGTATGCTAGCGAGTGCTAGCGAGTAATTCCAGAATAAATCCCAGTGGTCTTCGCTGGCAAGTTCGCCAGGTGAACGGGTAGCGAAGGTTCGCCAGAGGCTTCGCTAGGCAAAGGTTAGCGAACGCAACAGCATATTTTCTTTTCTTGTGTTTTCCATTCGTGGATCGGTTGTGTGGTTTGGTTGCGATCACTCCTTATCTGAGATGACTAATTATGTGTGGTCATATGTGTTATGGGTAGCCGTATGGTGTGAATCCTAGTTTGTGAATTGTGAAGTGTGAAATGTGGCCGTTTGGCAATTTTGTGCATTATTTGAATTAAATAGAGATGCATGGCTAGATTGATTGTGAATGTGAACCATGTATGAAAATTGGTGTGAATCGATGATGAATATATATATATATATATATATATATATATATATATATATATATATATATATATATATATATATATATATATATATATATATATATATATATATATATATATATATATATATATATATATATATATATATATATATATATATATATATATATATATATATATATATATATATATATATATATATATATATATATATATATATATATATGCTTTGTGATACATATATCTGAATGCATAATGAATGTATGCGCCGAATGTGATGAATGCATGAGTATGTTTGTAAACATGTATGCATTTCAAGAGTGTCATGAGTCATGTTGCATGTTGTCATACTCCAAATTTGTCCTACCCGTTTCAAATTTTTCTCCGCCCGATTTTATTTTTTCAATTCGCATCGCTTTTACGGGGTAACGTATTCTTCGGCAAAAATAAACTCTTTCACCTTTTAGTCCAATAAATTTGCACCATATGACATCTTTTTATTTATTATTATTTATGTTTTAACATTTTAATATTAATTGATTAATTAGTTTAATGGGATAGAGTTATAATTATTTATTTATTTATTTGTTTTTAGAATAGAATTTTTTAATTAGGAATAGGATTTGATTTTTTTAATTATTAATTAAATTAGAATTTAGTTTTTTATTTAATTAAAATTAGTTAACATAGAAAATAGATTTATTATTCAGAAAAATTAAAAATTTTAGAAAAAAGAAAAATTGAGGACACGGATGAACTGGGTATTGAATTAGGGAACCCTACTGTTCATGGGATCCCCAACTCTGAAGGGTAACCCTAGCCGCTAAGGCCATGGCCCTAAACCCCCACTTCACCTACAATCATCTCCTTCAAAAAACCCTGCCGCCGTCAAACCCTTTCTCTCTCTCATGAACTTCCGTCGCCGCCCCAATTTCTGAAAACCCTCAAATCTTCCACCCTCAGCATTTTATTTCTCATCTCGTAACCCTTTTTCTTCTTCCCTTTCACGAAACTCAGCCACCGTCACGACCTTATTCCCCTCCGAAAAAACCTTCGACCTGTCCCGTCGTGAACGCCAACCACCTTCAATATTCATCATAGGCGTTTCTGCAACGACTCAGTTCCTCTTCTTTACAACAGAAACTTGCGCTGTTTCAACACAAGGACATCCGCAATAACTGTCATACAAAATATATTCTTGTTGTCTTCATTTTTTTCCAGGTAGCGATGTTACCGAAGTTTCGAATGCGCAGCGAGAACTTGGTGTTGTGTGTGCAAGAAGGCCATCGCCCTAAACCCTCACTTCACCTACAATCATCTCCCCTAACAAACAAACTCATTCTCTATAGTCGTCGTTCTCTTCCGATGTCGCAAACCGAAACCCTATCTTTGATTCACGAGATTGAATCTCTCGTCTCAGATCAACTTCAAGTGGTTTCATACAAGTGGCTTAGTCGCAGTTATCTGATATCATCTGATGAAGCAAAGAGGTTGCTTCAGGAATTTGTTCAAAAACATAAGGGTGAGTTGGAAGTGGTGTATGCTTTGTCTGGCTGGTTAAAGAGTACTCATCCTAGCTACCACATAAGGCTTGTTGCTGAACCAAAACTTGCAGAAGCACAACAAGAGTTTGATGGGCATTGCTCGGTCCAGGTATACAGTGTGCAAGCTAGCATTCCAAAGGATCCAGCTGTGCTTTGGAATGAAGAATATATTCAAGCAGAAGAGCTCTTCAAGCAGCCTCCCTCGGCTGATAATTGCTTGAGAGACAATAGGTTATGTGGGATCTCTAATTCTTTTGTAAGAAGGAATGTGGAGGGCCAACCGGCAGTTTTTGCCACTCCACAAATAAAATATTTAGCAGGCTTGGAACCAACAAAGAGTAACATTGTTCACCAACCTCCAAAGAACACAACACACAGTTTTGTTGCTAACGTTGACCACAAATCACAGAATGTGGTGAAAGATGTCAAGACTGAAAACAATGGTACAGGAAATACAAGAGTTCATGATAACACCAATAAACCTACTACAGAGAAAGAAAAGTCCCTTCCAGTGCCCACAGGGAAAAAGAAAGGACAGGGCGATAAAAGTAGCTCTGGTACTGAAGGTTCGTTGGCAAGCTTTTGGGGTAGACCATCTACAAAAGCCAAGCCCTGCCCTGTGCCAGCAGGAAATAGTAACCTGATTTCAAATCCCGCTGAAGTCACTGAAAATGCCCAAACTTGTGCTCATGAAGCAGTAGATCGTGACAGTGATGATGATGACAATCAAGGTGTCATCTTAAGAAGATCATCCAATAGGAAAAGGAGGGTTGTCTTTGATTTCTCAGATGAAGACGAAGATGTCATCAGTTTAGCATCACCTGATGTCCCTATTAAACAACCACCTCAAGATTCCAGACAAAATGATAAAAAGTCATTAGAGAAAACCACTTTGAATTTTGATTTGCAGGTAGGAAATAAACCATTGGTTAAAGAAGAGAAAGCAACTGAGAAAAAGGTTTTCCAACCACCAAGAGAAGATTTATCAATTATGACCAAGTGCACAAGTAATGGTAAATCATCTACTGAGAAGCTGTAGAGTAGTGCTCCCGAAATTTCTGTAAATAAGGATAGTGTAAAAAAGGTATCTCCAGGTTCACCTAAGAGGAGAAAAGTGATGAAGACCAGGATTGATGAAAAAGGGAGAGAAGTAACTGAAGTAGTCTGGGAGGGGGAGGAGACAGAGCCAAAGAAAGCTGATACAGATGCAGCAAAGAAAGCTGATACGGGTGCAGCAAAGAAAGCTGACAACAAAGCATCCACCAATGCTATCAACAGTGCACCGGCAACTAAGAAGCCACCGGCTACATCAAATGCTACCGGAAAAGGAGGAAGGCTCAACAAAGCTCAAGATTACAATGACGCAGGGATATTGTGCCAAATTCCACGCAAGCGGTTTCTGTTGTGGAGGTCTCGAATTTGTGAAGTTTGTTTTGCTGATTGTTGCAGGTTACGGCGTCGCCGAATTTTTGTGCAGGTTACATGCTGTGAGACCATAAAGCCATGGAGAATCAAGAGTGTCGAAGCCGCAATTACGAAATGTTAGAGCTCGCATTGATGCTGCCGCAACTCGGTCTTCATCCACTTCCAAACAATCTATCAACCCCACACTATATCTCCAGCCTTTTCTAGATGTGGTTCGAGCTGATGAAACCGGTGCAGCAATTACATGTGTTTCTTTGTCATCTGTTTACAAGATCTTGACTCTTGGTGTGATTGATCATAATACGGTCAATGTTGAGGATGCCATTCACTTGGTGGTTGATGTTGTTACTAACTACAGATTTGAGGTCACTGATACTTCTTCCGAAGAAGTTGTTTTAATAAAGATACTACAAGTTCTCCTAGCATTTCATCAAGATGGAAACAAAGGAGACTGGAGGCCTAAATAACGAGTATGCTGTCGGAAATAAAAAGTTAGAGAATGGCAGCATGAAGTTCTACAGACTCGTCATTCCGCAACGGCAAGCAGCAGCAACTTTAGCAATTTACCATAGCCTCAACATGGTTCAAACAGACAACCACTCAAATGGTAGCAGCAAGTTGGAACAATAATGCGTCAGCACCACTTAACTTTGCGCTTCATCCACAGCTACACAACATCTTCAAAGTCTCACGCATTTCCGATTTTGTAACCACACTCACAAGGGTTGTATCTCTAACTTAACCATGTTTCCTTTGTGTTCGATTTTTGTGAATTTTTTTTGTCTCTGTTCTCTTTGGTTTGCTATCCGCTGTTTGTGCAGGTTGTGAATTGATTCAAGAGCTGACCCCTAGTTGGTCTCGACATGATGTCCTAGAATTCCATCTGTCAAAGCACATTTTCATAACACCCTTCATGACTCTCGGCAACAACGGCGAATCTTCATAATTTGCTGGCAGTTTCTATAATAGCTTGCTTGAAGCCATCAACCTCATCTGCTAGCGAGTTGGAACAACAATAACACAGATGTCTGTTGCGGTATTCATTTATGTGTAACAAGCTCATGAAGAGAAAGAAGTGTGGGGAGCATGTAGGTTACAAACACGGTAACTGTTGTGTATCTAGCTTAGTCTTCTTCCCTTTTAAATGTTGCGTTTGTTTCCTGTCTTGTTTTGTGGTGTCCATTTATGTGCAGGTTAAGGGCTGATTAACGCCTCAGTATGGGTTCGGTTTTAACGTAATATTCTTGTATTCCGTTTTCTGCAACATATTATCATCAACAAATGACGACATTATATTGATCAGCCGCATAACAATAATGACCTGAAGCATGAGTCAAAAATGTTGCCACAACCGGACCATCTTTTCCGCCGCTAAGTTATGAAGTCGCAACGACATCGACGCGGCAAGTGCAGTAATGTTAGATGTAGCAATTCTTTGCTCATACTTCCATTAATAACTCAGAATCAGCATTCACGATGTCGTCTCGGTAAATTTTGGATTCTAAGCAATTTGTGTGGAATGTTAGAATATTAATTATAATGTTTAATTTTGGCTCAGATTTTATGACGTGTTGCCTGGTTTACAATTCTTGTTCATAATTTTTAATGTTATTATTAATTTGCGTTGAATCTTACACCATTGATATATTCTTCTTTGAGCTGTAATGTTAGTTAACCGTTTGTTGCCTTTGTGTTCCGACTTCGGTTTAGGTAAATGTTTCAGCTGAATTTTTTACCTTGAGCCCCTGTTTATTTTAGTTGCGATTCAATCCCGAGGTACTCTAAGACTTCTGTGATAATGATAATTGCATTACTGCTGTTGTGAATAATTCATGTCGACATTACGACATTGCGGTAACTATATGAGTCAAGCTTGTTTCCGAATAGTGTGATGTTTGTTTCCTTTTCATAAATCTTAATTGGACTTTCAAGTTGTTGTATTCAAGTCATTGTTGGTTTTTGCTGCTGTACTTCATGCTTATTGCGGTTCTATGACATTCACTTGAGCAAAGCATGCGTGAGTTTTGGGTTATCTTTTACTGTATGAAATTGTTGTGCCTTTCGAATGAAGGTCTACCGCCGCATTTTGCTTCGAGATGCATGCTGTGATGAAGGTAATTTAGTGGAAATGTAAATAATATGGGTTTTGTTTCCTTGAATATATTTCGATTCTGTTCATTTCAAAACAGAATAACCATTTTCAAATAAAATCATCTTTTATTCACTAAGGTTAATTAATTATTATTATTTTTAATTAATTAGTGTAGTTAATTAAATTAAAAATCTTACTTAATTAAGATCATGTACTTAAAATAAATTTCTAATAAATTTCTTTTTATTAAGATTTGAAATATCTTCTTGACATGCATTTTTTTTAGTTTAAATTTTGATTTAAGAATTATTTGACGTCTTGTGGGTTTGATTTACCTAATTGTTCCTTTTCATCCCCATTTGATTAAATGTATCCCACTCCCTCATAATGTAATATGTTTTTAACGCTTTTGTCCCATTTATATTTTAAAAATCCTTTTTTTTTTGAAAATAAATTCTCGATTTATCGAGCCGTTTTCTACCCTTGTAAGTCGAGTGCTTTTAAAGCCTCGCCATCAACCTTTTGGTCACAGACACAACATTTTAAAGCTTAATCCTGGGCTTCCTTACAGTGATACCTATTTGATCAATTATTTCTAGTTGGTCACTTAGAAGACTAGCCCACTTTGCTAGTGTACACGTTAAAACTCTAATTTCAAACCTCGACTCGCATTGAGTATTTTTCTTTAAACCAAACTAAAACACTTAATAATTATTCAAATACAATTTCGATAAAGATGAAAAAGAGAGAGTTCCAAGTCTTTGGTTCTCTCTCCCAATTGTTTGGGTTCGAGAAGTCTTTCTTAAGCTCGAACAATTGTCTTCTAAAAAATGATAAACGAATTCAAATCATTTTTCTTAAACACGTAGATGAAAAAGAGAGAGCTCCAAGTCTTTGGTTCACTCTCCCGATTATTTAAAATTCAAGAAGTCTTTCTTGAGCTTGGAGTAGTCGTCATCCGATTAAAACACTCTAAATATATCAAACATCTTTCATAATATTAGATGAGAAGAGGAGAGAGCTCCAAGTCTTTGGTTCACTCTCCCGATTACTTGAGGTCCGAGAAGTCTTTCTTAAGCTTCGAGTAATCCTCATCTGTTAAAATATTTTAACCACCTCTTATCTTTCAAGTGTCATTCAAACAATTCCTTTTGCGATAAAAAAGAAAGTGTTCCAAGTCTTTGGTTCATTTTCTCGATTACTTGGGTCCGAGAAGTCTGTCTCAAGCTTCGAGTAATCGTCATCCGATTCACTCACTCGTATCCAATTCCATTAACACTTAGATGAAAAAGAGAGAGCTTCAAGTCTTTGGTTCACTCTCTCGATTACTTAGGGACCGAGGAGTCTTTCTCGAGCTTCGAGTAATCATCGTCCGATTAACTTATTCAAACCATACTCAATTCTATCCTTTCACATTTGAGGTTGAAAAAGAGAGAGCTCCAAGTCTTTGGTTCACTCTCCCGATTACTTGGGTCCGAGAAGTCTTTCTTAAGCTTCAGGTAATCGTCACCTCTAGCTAAACTTTTAATACATCTAACCAATCTTTTTCTCGCCCCGTGCAACCAATACCTTATAACCTATTGAAATCTATCCTCTTTTCCAAACCAAAATACTTAACCAATCAAACTCTACTCGCCCTCGTGTGATCCATAACTTAAACAACTCTTCTCAAAAAACATTGTTTAGTCCCTTCTTCCGCGCATAACAAACTCGTGCTTCAGCCTCCCCTAGCAAGCAGACAAGCCAACGTTTAGCAGTTAGAATGCGACCTAAACACTCGTTCATTTTCCAAACCTGTTAGCAAACCGTAGGCCGAACTACAGTTGCTCTGATTCTTCATTCCCTTTCGAATGTAAGATACGTAGGCACAAGATTGCGATGATCTTGGCGAGCACAATTCCCAAACCTTTACCCGTAGTCCCATGAACTACGAATGCTCTGATTTTCCACTTCTTACAAGTGAAGATACGTAGGCACAAGGGCCCCAATCCTTGGCGAGCACCCTATCTTAAAACCACCCCATTTCCCTTAGCAAGCAATCCCTTTAGAAGATACACAAACATAGTTAAATTTCTCTCGCGAATCGAATCAAGAGGTTCCCGTTGAGTACAACGGACGTAGAGGGTGCTAATACCTTCCCTCTATGTAATCGACTCCCGAACCTAGAATGTTGGTTGCGATGACCATGTTCCTATCCCTTTAAAGGTTTTATCGATATTTTCCTATTCCTCCCTTGGAATGAATAAAGTTCGGTGGCGACTCTGTTTCGAACAGTATTTTCCGCGTCCATCGCGAGGATCGTATTTTTCGAGGTACGACAGATGGCGACTCTGCTGGGGATTAGCATAGCCCTATGCTAGAGAGAGTCAAGCCTAACTTGAATCGATTCGCAAGAGTTGGATCTGCTTGTTTGTGAATCTTCTTCTATTGTTTACTTGTTTTATTTACTTGCTTGCTTTTATATATCTTATTGTTGTTTCTTGTGATACTATTGGGGGTTCTCTGATTGTGGGAACTTTGTG